CAGGCATTTTTATAAAGGAAGAATACAAGCTACAAAATCAGGAGATATGAGGAGGATATCTACCTCATACCCAGGGAACAGACAGAGAGCATAGCTATCATTTCAGAAACTTAAAGGGGAAGCAGAAGAAATGCTCAGAGAAGACAACAGGTGTGTGGGGGGGTTCTGAAGGTATTCTGCAGGAATGTTGTTTTCTGGGTCTTCTTTCTCCTACAATTCCACACTGTCATCTTTCTAAACAAATGCAGTCATGGTGCATTTCTGCTTAAAATTCATCCATGGCTTACACTAGCTTTGATCTTACACAGAACACTAGCACACCAGGACGCCTCACACTCTCGTCCTCTCTCCCTCTGTTGTGTATCCATAGTCTTCATTTCTGTAGGCTGCTTTCAGAGTCACATGAGCGAGCCCACACTTAGGGACCACACTGCAGCAGTGTTTTGTTGGTACTGATTTTGTTCAGTCAACCACTGTCTTCTGTAGTGTTCAGTTTTCTTACTTCAAGAATCAAGAAGTTAAAGAACTTTTACCTGGGAAATTATTACCACTTGAGGATTATTTTTTTAGCTCTAGAGATTTAACTCAGGGTCTCAGGCATGGAAGGCAAGTACCCTATCACTGAGCTACACACCCAGCCCAAAACACTCATAATGGGATAATCTTCTATATATTGTAGAATATTGATCTTGCCTCTTACTGTCAGTTGTACCCTCTAGTCATTGAAACAGCCAAAGCTATGCCCACACACTTTCCAATCACCTCCTTTCATATGGGCACTAGAGAGAATACAGGATACCTAGTTAAATTTTAACTTTGCTAAGCAACAAGTCTTTTTAAAAGTATATTCCAAGTATTGCATAGGAATCGTCATTTTTATTTACTGTACCTTGCAGCCCTACAAGTGGAGCACCCTATATGGTTATACACCACAGTTAACATAAAGACAGCACCTTTGAAGTTATGCAGTGTCTAATCTGCATAACCAAATGTAGCTACACTGGTTGACAATTAATACAAACCCAGCTGCAAGCACTGGTGCAGATTATCAGTGAGAGTAGTTTAACACTAACATTTCTGTAAGTCTTCAAACTACCTAGCAGTGCAATGTGCTCAAGGCTGTGGGATACTTACACACATTTGAAGTCAAATCTAGGAAAATTTAATGATTTATTATTGTGAGATTGAACAATATTATTTTACCCTCTTCATCTCTATACTGGATCATGTTTCCCCTTAAAAATGAAGCAATCTTGTTGTAATAAAAAATTATGAATTAGTATATCATCCATACCCTGAATTATAAATGAGAACTTTAAAGATATGACAGTGTAAATACAATGGAATGATTACTTAGTGGTGGCATTTCAGATGCTAATTGGAAAGAGCTCTTACCTAGTTTTGAAGTTCAATAACCATTGGGTAATGAGGTCAAACTTTTGTCAAAAAAGAGTAACTGACTACTTGTCAAGAGGCTAAAGAAGGTCTAATTTTCTTCAAGAAATTCAGCACTGCCTGTGTGATTTTAAACTTTAAAAATATATAGAAAAATCTTGATATGGTCAGCTTTTTGAATATGGATTTTTCTCTTAAGAGTAAGTCCTATTAAATAATCTTACAAGAAATTAGTATGTAGAGATTAAAATCGATAATTGACTAATTTATGATGATATAGAAAATGCTATGTGGATAAGAATATTTGCATTAGAACTAATGCATTTTTATATTTAAGGACAGATCTCAGTTTTTCCTATGACAGATGTTTATTGAACTGAAATATTGTATTATGCATGAGTGAGTGAATTATCTCTGCTCTTGATATCTCACTGACTAGACTAACAATGGTAAAGAGCACATGATAACTTTGGGCAATAGAGGGGGTAGGGTAGAAAATAAGGAGAAAAGAGCATGAGGAAGACAAGAAGGTGAGGGAGATGCCACATTGGAGGAAATAAATATAACTCCACAGAGTAAAACATAAGGTAAGAGTCAGAATTGGAATAAGAGCAAGATTCCAAGTCAGAACAGCCTAATAAGCCTTGTAGGGCTGTTGGGTTTTTTCTTAATAGTAATGGGGACCCATTATACTTGCCATGTTTTAAAAGTTATTAGATTATAATTTTGAAAGATTAGTTTGGCAATTGTGTAGAAAATGGAGTAAAGAGTAACAAGATGAGAGGTGAGATCCCCTGCTATAAACTGGGTGAGAATCAATTATATAGAAGGAAGAAATGGTTAGCGAGATATTTCAGAGATGATATAGTGAGTAATTTTCAGTGCAGGATGAGAACAGAGGTAGAGATGTACATTGTTTTGGGCCAAGACACAGAAGCAGCAAATTGAGGTCAGGTGAAACAAAATGCATTTCCTGCAGCACTTTTAGAGTTTGAATTATTTTAGAACAGTCAAGAAAGTCAATAAAGAGGTACGTTGATATAGAGGGCTGAGATTTAGGTGACAAATCTGGCATAAAGACACAGATTTGTGCATCATTATAGATGCTGGCAATGATGATGACATCATCCTGAAAGAAAGAGAAGTGACACAAATGGATTTAGAAGTGAAGGTCATTAAAACTTAAAAAAAAAAAAGGCACCTGAAAACTAGAGATGACAGGACAAGGGGAAGAAAAACTGATAATATGGCATCATATAAGTAAATGAAAAAGAATGCATCTCTAAAATCATCTATATAGGGATCAGGAAAATTTCTATTGGACTGGGGGGAAAAGACATTTAAAATGAAAGATATTTAGTGATTAAGACAAATATATCTTCAGAGGACAGTTAGTACAAACCTGTGTGTGACCAATCACAAAATGAATAGAAATGGAAATAGAACCTGTAGAAGTGCCGACAGCTCCTCCCATGTGTGTGCTTGTGTCAGAAAAGAGAAATGTAAGGCACTAACTACATGGTCTTATATGTGCGCAAATATCCTGCACATATTTGACACATTGGCTTGTTAGTTTTTAAAATGGAGAGAGTTAACAACTTTTTATGCAGATGAAAATGAAGAAGATGAAGATGTTAAATCATAAAATAGAATATTCTACAAGGTTCCTGAGGGGAAAAGAATAGAGTCCAGGACAGTGATAAAGGAATCAACATTGGATAATTTTCGAGAGCTGCCATAACAAAGTGCCACAAACCTGCATTATCATCTCACAGTGCTGGGTGGCAACTAGAAGTCTGAAATCAAGGTATCTGCAGGATTGGTTCTTTCTGATGGCTGTGAGAGAAAAATCTATCCCAGGGCCCTGTTTTTGGCTTACAGATGATGATATTCTCCATATGTCTCTTCACATTGTTTTCCTTCTAAGGTCAACAGTATCCAAGTTGCCCCCATGTTTTAAGGAGACCCATAATATTGGAGTAGGAGCTCACTCTGCTCCCATACAATGCCATCCTAATTTAACTAATTATATCTGCAATGACACTGTTTCCAAATAAGATAACATTCTGAGTGCTAGAGGTTTGCACTTCAATACATGAATTTGATGGGGACCACAATTCCATCTGTAATGAATGGGAAGCAAGGTAATTCTTCTTTTGAAATAAAAAGGAACTAGAAAGTGTTCCAGCTGTGGGAGTCTATAGATTTTATGGCAGGATGTTTGGAAATCCCCAACTGCTTTTTATCTTCTCTGAAGTAGAGATACAGCTATCAGCAGAGGAGTCAGAGTTGGAAGTTAAAGTTTCTGGGGAAAGTTGGAAAAGCCATTGCACAGAATGAGACAGAAGGCTGACCAAGGAGACTGTCAGGCAGCTTTGACAGCTACTACCACTTCAGCCTGTACCTACAGAAAATAATTACTCAGTGTGCTCTTTAGAGAATAATGCAAAATCTCATGGGGAGGGCTACTTTGCTTATAATGGCTTATGTCTTAGTTGATTTTCTCATTGCTGAGACAAAATCCCCAACATCTAAAGTTAAAGGAGGAAAGGTTTATTTTGGCTCACAGTTTGTAGAAGTTTCAGTCCATAACCAGCTGGCTCCAAGGCAAGGTGGGATCACAGAGGGGGCTGGCAGAGCAGGCAGGAGGCAGCCGAAGACAAGCAGCAGCACCAGAAGCAGCAACACCAACCAAAGGTGGCAGCAGCTTCTTTAGGTCCCTTTATAATCTATCCAGGTTATAAGCCTATTGATTAATGCCACCCACATCCAGGGTGGAGCACCCATAATCCCAGGGTCACACACTTAATCTCAGCATCATGCACTTAATCCTAGCTACCTCCAAAAAGACCAACCTATGACCTCATGAAGCTTTGGGGACATCTCCATACAAACCATAACAGTTTACAAAATGCATGCCAGCTTCACTAAGAAAAAGCTATTCTTAGATTCACCAGTCAGTCATTCATTGGAGCTCAGGTTAAATGCCAATTTGTTCATGACCTTCCCTATTTTCATAACTAAAATTACATGCAACTACTATTTTTATTACAGCATTTAATGTAACATTTCCTCCCCTAGGTTGCGTCCTAAATAGAGAGATCACCTTGTGCATCTTTCTTTCTCCAAATATCCCCTCACATTCCTGAATGTTGGAGAGAGCAGTTAGGACTCAGTGAACATTTGTGGAACTAAAGATTGAGTAATACATACTCAGTAGGAGAGCATCTCTGTTCTACTGAGAGTTATAATTTCCACAAAGTCTTGTCCAAAGGCACAACTTTTATAGAAAAGAGTAATGTAAGGGTCATGTGTAAGTAAAAACGTTCAGAATGTAAACATTTATGGTGAGCTCCAGGAACAGAGCACACTTGAATGTCTTAAAGAAATGTAATCTGACTTTCAATCCCATAAAAGATTAGTTTACCTTATAGCAAAACAGTAGTAATGACCTAGTAAATGTCATAATATATTTTTTTCTATTTAGGAAATCTGAAACACGCATCCATAAAAATCACACATATATGGCAATGTTTTCACGCAACAGTGAACAAGAGTAGTAAATAAATACAAGATATTGAGAAATATTACCCTTTATTTTTCAGAGTGACTGTGTGCTTACTTTTTTCCTTTCTGAGCCTGTGCAACGAACAATTGAAGAATCTTCACTTGTGGACCTAGGCAAGTAATTTCATCCTTATAACCATATGTAGTGATAGTTTCAATATAATTGTGTAAAAATATCACAACTATAATATTTTCAATTTCCAAATTAAAATCTCTTTTTAAGACTAAGTCCTAACTAGTCCTTTCTAACCATTTCCAAACCTTTTAAGCCCCTTAGAATATGTTCTTTGAATTAAATTAAGTTCACATGAGTTTATCTAATGATAATAACTACGTGATATCATACTATGAATGCACTTCATTTAATTGGGAGTTGGGTTAAAATTATGTGTCAGAAATAGAGTCCCTGTTTTCCCCTGAAGGTAGGTATTACAGTTTATCCCACATCTTAGGAAGCAACAAAAATAAATATAATATAAATGATTATGAATTATCTAGCAATTTCACTCCTATCTTTTAAAGATCAATAATGTTCTACTTTCTACACAAACTCTTACAGGGATGCCAAAATAACCCAGCACAATCATGTGCCCTATTCTCTTCCAAATGTGAACTGGCCTCGTTCTAATTAACATTTACACTATCTCTCCTAGATTGACAGACACGCCTTTATATGTTCTATCAATTTTAAGCATCTCTAATATAATTCCATGGCAAAGACAAGCCATCCAACATGGATTTTTATCTCAAGATTACAAATCCATGATTTTTGCCAGACCTTTTAATCCTCAATCTTTATTTTATCTACATCTAATTTCAGATTCTCTATTTTTAACATTAGGCCCATCTGTTTATCATTCTGTTTATATCAACATTGTAGATACTTATTCTTTAAGGTTTATAATTCTGTAAACAGTATCCCATTGTCTAGCATATTTTTTTTTAAGTTATAGAACTATGTTTGCATTTGCTTGCTTCTCCTGTTAAACTGAAGATAACTTTAAATCAAGGACTCACTTCTCCACTGTGTATTGCTCTATACTTACAAATCCTAAATGAATGCTTGAAAATTGGACCTTTGTCATTGATCCACATTTTATTCATTAGTTGACATCATCTTCCAAGATGCTTTGCTTAACAGCGAGAAAAAATAGACTAGAAACAAAACACATACACAATATTAAGTAAATAAGGCAATCGCTTCCATCTTGCAGCACTTACCAGAAGAAAAATGATGTCTCCAGTTTAAAATATTTCTATTTTTGTCATCATTTACAAATGCCTAATAGATACCTTCCAAAAACAACTAGGTGGAGAGACTTTTACAATAAATATCATTACCTAGAATAATCTAGAATTTGGAAAAATGAGACTGCAGAATTCTAGAGACATCACACAAAAAGAGATAATAGGCTTATATTGATTGCAACATTAAAGTCCCTCAAGGATATTGCTTTCCTGGGTTTTAACAAGTTAAACATCAGATAACTATCAGGTTTTAAATTCTGCTATGGTATTATTTCTCTGAAAGTCACTTTGAAATACATATGCACACAAAAGAATTTGTTTTATTTTTGTAAAAACTAAAATGGTTGCTTGAGAATATTTTCTTTTTAAAAATTACTTTTATAACATCAATACTCAAAATTTATTTCAGCAGAGATGAATGATAAAAGATTTGATTCTCAACATTTTTAAATAATAGGCTACACATTAGATATAACCTATTATCTTAAAACAATAGAACACATCTTCCTAGCTGAATATGCAAATGACTACAATAAACAAGAATTAGCAGGAAGTTGTTCCTTCTTGTTCTCTTCAAATTATTTCCTCTTTCATACTTCTGAATACCTAATCTTTTGTCATACGATATCAGCTGACTCTAAACCAAGCAGCACAGCATTTATTTTAAGCACTATTCTTGTCAATGAATTGAAAGTGTAAGCTTATATTGTTAAATAATTAGAGGGCAAAATTCTTCGAATGTATTAAAATATTGATGTACAGAAGACCATCTTAAGTGAAAGTCCCTGACTTTACCATTTGACTACCTCTCCTAGTTAATTAAAAAGGCAGATAAGGCCCAGGGATTTAGCTCAGTGGTTTTGCCACCTGCTGCGCAAGTGCAAGGACCCGAGTTCGATCCCCGGTACCAAAAAAAAAAAAAAGAAAGCAGATAATAGCAAGGAAGGATATGAGTAAAATATATTATATGCTTAGAACATTCTCCAAAAATGTGGAATTAAGGAGAGGACAGAGCAAGAGGAAAATGACAGGGGGTGAAAATGATCAAAGTATGTTATGTGCATATACACATCTGCCAAAATGAAAACTATTCATCGATATAACCAGCAAAAAGAGTTTTAAAAGGATGATACCTGTATACCTATGTATCTAGGCACACAACCTTTAAAGATCATATTAATAACATTCATGTAACCCTCCATCTGAGAGGTCTTTCTCCTCTACCCACTAACTAAAAATGCCATGGTAAAATAATAGAATTGTTCTTTTTTAATTGTCAACCCAGTCATCTGTTCTCTACTAAAACCTTTTTCTTGGCTTACCATTTGCCTTATGCAGGGCCAGCTTCATATACTAAACAGCTACACAGGCAAGGTCCTGCACTTGGGCAATATTTGCTGCTACTGTCTTGAAACTCTTGATAAGCTTTGAGAAAACAGATGCCACATTTTTATTTGGGATTCAGCCTTATAAATTATGTAGCTGGCCCCCAGCAGTAGGATAAAAACCTAAATCCTCCTTGTGGCATCTCTTCCCACAACTTCCCCTTGCTAGTCCACTATCAGGCCATTTGCCATCTTCATTTCTATCTTTTTCCAGTTCTTCAACTGGGACAACTTCCTCAGTGCCTCACAGATGCCATTCTTCATGACCAGATCTTTGGACTTCTATCTTTTTCATCCTTTTATATATCCTTCAGATTTCAATTCAAATACTCCTATAATGTTATTTCTTCAAAACACTTACATGTATACTCCGGTATGTGTACTTATTTGCAGACTAGAAATCCATGATAGGGTTTCTGTATCCTATAGGATATCTGTATAGCAACACTACTGCATTCCCAGGGTCTAGCACACTGTCTGGCTTGCTCTGGATGCTCAGTAAATAATCACTGAATAAATGATTGATGTCAGAATCACATTCAGATTCTTTATCAAGGTAGTATGTCACTTTTATTAAAAGGACAGGTAAAAAAAAAAAGCCACACTTATTACTTGTGTGGAAGTCTTGGCACAAGAAAACCAAGTCCCCCCAAACACTAGAACTATTTTGAAGTATCAAGTGGGAGAGATACTGTAAAAATTATACATTGAATGTTATGTATAACAGACCCAACCAAAGTTCTGACAAGAAAGTTGAATTTTATCTTCAGCACAGAATTTTTAACTAATGACATGATACTGTATATTGTGATACTGTAATAAAATACCTGATATAATCAACTTAAAAAGAGGCTCACAATTACAGAAGATCTAGTCCATCGTCAGTTGGTCATATTGCCTTGGGGCCAGTGGCTAGGAAGTACATTATGGTAGAACCACATGGTGGGACAAAGTTGATCACTTCATGGAGGCAGAGAAACAAAAAGAAGAGGAAGCAGATGGGTTGAGGTCCCAGTAGCCATTTCTAGGGCAGTTCTCCAGTGATCTAACTTTCTTCCATTGGCCTCACCTCCTACAGGTTCCACAGCCTCCTGTTAGTGCCATGGGTTGAGGACCAAGTCTTCAACGTATGCACCTGAGGGACACTTGCCCACAACATAACACCCTCCATGCCAAAAATGCTTCCACCCATACATCCAAAAAATTAAAAAAATCCACTCCACCACCACACAGCTCTGACACAACGGAAGACAGATTTTTGTCAAGATACAGAAATAATAACATAAGTAATGGAGTAGAACAGGATCAAAGAAAACAATTGTCAGGGTTAAGAGGATGCATTAATGAGTGTGTTTAGACAACACTGATAATTACAAATGATTGCAAACACAAGCTTTCAATCATTCCTCACATCAGTACTTCCACTTTAAGACATTAATTTAAAAAAGAACTTGAAGGCATGCAGTCCCCAAGGGATGGTTTAACTGGTTAATGGCCTAGTTACTTGCTCTCCCAGAAGCCAGATCAATTATCTATAGGTTGCATTATGGAATTCAGGTTTTCAATTTAAATTTTAATTATGTTATTTAATAGGAATAAGTTCTGCTATCTTGTTCTTTGGCACAGTATGGTAAATATAATTAACAATAATGTATTATATATCTCAAAATAGTAAGCAGAAAAGAGTTTGAAAGTACCATAAAGAAATTATGAAAATTCAAGGTGGTGAATATGCTAATTGATCGCTGAGTTGATCACTACCCAATGGCTATATGAATCAAAACATCATATGGTACCTTGTAAATATGTGCGAATATTATGTGTTAAGCAAAAAATACATAATAAAAATTTTAATGATCTGAAAGATGAGAATTAAAAAATAGGACTAGTTAGAGATAAATGCTCTATTAAGTTATTTTGGTAACATTCAGTTGAAAGCTTTAGAATAGTGGTCATTTTGCTATGTTATATCTTATAACCTCATGTTTTTTAAGGAAAATATTTTAAACTTTGATTTGTGCTCCACCAGGGAAGAAAAAGATGTAAAGAAAATGAGTTAAAGAGTTTTTTCTAGTTATTTCATCTCTCATAGCTGGTTGGTGAAGAATATCACAGAAATTATATTCTAGGAATAATGTAACAGGAAATATGTAAGTCTAAATGAAGGAAACTTTAAAATACTACTAATTTGAAAGATGCCCTGAACAAATGGGAAGACATATCATGTTCTTGGAGAGGGAGATTCAATATCTTAAAGATTAATTTTGAAATATAATGTAATTCTTTTAAAATATTAGCAAATTAATTTTTAATTATGTAACCTAATTCACAGTTCATAAACAAAAGCCAGGAATACTTAACAAAAACAGACTGATGAAGGGAAATAAGCCCTACCAGATATAAAAACACATTTAAAACCCTCAATAATTAAAACAGTATAATTCTGGAACATAAATAGGTGAATAAATAGAACATAACAGAAGGTCCATAAATAGAGACAAGTAGATTTAGGAATTTAGTATGTGAACAAAACATTTAGGGAAAATTCAATAAATGGTGTTGGGATAATATACTTCACACCATATGCTAGAATAAATTATAGGCAGAGAAAAGATTTTAAAGGTAAATAATGAAACCATATATATGACAAAGAAAACACAGGGAAAAATCCTTTATAATTTTGAAATCTGCATCTACAACTTTCACGGCAAATCTAAAAGCCTTAACAACTTTGCATGGCATTAAACACTATAACAAAATAAACTAAGATAAATGACAAGATGGGTGAAATAACTGCAATTCATCACAGACAAAAGCTTGATTATCTAACACATAACCGTCTTCTAGAAAATGGTAAACAAAATACTAAACAGCCAAACAGAATACTGAGTAAAGACTATGAAAAGATAATCCACACACAGCACACACATAAAATAGAAGTGGCTGTGAGCCAAATGAAAAGATACTCAACCTCACTCATGAAAGAAATGCAAATTAAATTACAGTGATACTACCACCATTTTTTTCTCATCAGATTGGCAAACACCCAAAAATTTAATTAGCAGCCTGGTTATAAATCAGCAGGCACTCTCATACATGGCTAGAGATAATACAAATTGGTACAACCTCCATAGAAGGTAATTTGGCAATGTTTATCAAAATTACAAATACTTACATTCTTTGACCAACAATTCTACTGTTAGAATTTTATTGTGGATATTTATGCACAGGTATATTTTGACACAGGTCTATGTGGCTATTTGTTGCAATATGATTTGTGATAGCTATGAAATGCTGGAAACAACTCATCTACTCATCAATGGGGAAATAGTTAAATAAATCATGGTCCTTCCATATAATGGAGACTATATTTAAACATTTTTTTAAAAATCTATTTATTGATCTAAAAGTTTCTCCAAGACCTTTGTGTAGAATGTTAAATATGCCATGCCCTGTGTGAGAAAATGGGAAAATAGAATTCATTATTCATAGTTGCTTAGATGGAGCAGCTCTAGAAGGGTACATATCTTTCTAGAAAGATGTATGGGAAACTTATAAAATAGTGGTGAGGGAATAGGCAGGATGGGTGTTAGGAATGAGGGAAGGTATTTTACTCTATACTTTTAAAATAACTTCATTTTTTAATCATATGTACATGTTAACTAAAAAACAGTTAAATTTTGAAATGCTATTTTTCTATGAGAGGGGACACATTATGCATAATAAATTATGTATTAGCTGCTGTAGTGTCATCCATTCACACATCTCAATATGATCATCTTCAGATCAATAATATTTTAACAGTTTTTGAGATTATCATAAAGGATTGGTCAAATCCCCTAGGCAAACTTGAAGCAGAAGTTCAAAATGTTCAACATGTTTTTGTCCATATCAAGTTATTCTTAAATTGGCCTCTGTAGGATCTTCATTTAAACTATTTCCCTTATGTCATGGCCCTCTCTTTACACCATGATGTTCAGAAATGGCTTTGGAGATCTTTTAATTCTACATCATTTATTGTCTGCATAACCTTGGACCAAATGCCTTCATTTTCTTGTGTGTAAAATGGAGACAATATAAACCTCATAGATTTGTTTTGAGGATTTAGTGAGTTACTCTACAGAAAGCACTTAGCCTGGCACATGGTAAAAGTTATAGAAATACTATGTCTACTGCTAGTACATCAACTATTAAGACTTCATCATGTCTGAATTGTCAGTAAAACTAGGTTCTGAACTACTGCATGTTTTGATGGAAACTGGTTACTTACTAGTCTTGCACCAGAGGTTTTGTGTGTAATGTCATCTTTGGTTGGTTCAAGCAGCAATTTTACTTTGACTATGTAAGCACTTAGTCATAAGTTTATGCTACTTTCCTACCTATGAATTAAAATTCCTCTGATAAAACACATTTTCTATTTAATAATTCTTTCTCGCTTTAATTCAAATATAATATTCATTGTGCATCAAAATAGTCATCAGTATATTTAGCACTTTCAGACCAAAACTTCAACATTTTTATTACAAAATGTCATTGTCTCAGTACTACATTCAACATTAATTTATAATGTCTCTTGATCATTGTAAAAAAGATATTTTGAGTGGTTTTACTATAGTTATCTAATAAGCATCTCAGTTGTAAAAAATACTTGTTTTCAATGTCAATAATCTACATTCTCAATAAAAGTAATTAATATGACCTGCATGTGATGAGTAAACTACTATAATAAATATGTAAAAGGGTTTAGGGAGAAAACATACTGTTCATGTGTGATTTTCAAATTATTAGAGAAGATTAGAAAGTTTGGATTGACTATCAGAAAATAATATGGACCACAATAGGCCCATAACTGAACAGTGACAAGCTTTTTGTGAATAAGTTTTTTTCTATCTAAATTCCCTCTGAGAATATACAACCAGAAAGCATCAAGTGGAATATTACAAAAACTGTAAATTATGCTCACTCCTTGGGCTATGACCCAGAAATTTTTAATTAAAAACCTAAAGTTTTTCATTTTAGTGATATAACCCAAAGAAAAATTGGGATTACTTTTGTTATTAAATAAATGTTCACTGTGTACACAATGGAACAAACATTGGCATATGTCCCTTGATGATATAGAATAATAAACTGAGATGGATTGTAATCCATTAAACAAATGGATATATGTAAAATAATTACAATGCAAATATTAAGTAATAAAGGCTGTGCTAGGAGAGTTCAAAGGGAAGTGACCACAGAAACTGTTTTGCATTTTAATCAGGCCTTGAAATAAAGTAACCATTCCATAGCCACAAATGGTGGACTAGATCTTTTTAAATGAAGGGAAAAATATGAGAAACAACTATGAAGGGATAATAGAGAAGTTTGTAAAACTAACATGTGGAGGGGCTGGAGATTTAGTTCAGTGGTTCTGCTGCCTGCCTGCCAAGCACAAAGTCCCAAGTTCGATCCCCAGTACCAAACAAAAACAAAAAACAAAAAACAAATTAACATGCGGACTACAGGGTAGAATAATAGTGAATCCAGACTGAATAACTTCTGAAGCCCACACCTTTCACCTCTATGATCTCTAATACTTTAAGCTTATATACTGAACATTTAGGAGAGATTGAAGCCAAAAGGATAATAAGATTTAAAGTGTAAACAGTTGCAAAAATAGTGGTTATCAATCAAAACAAAACATAGTACATTAGGAAGAAGTGATAGATAGGGAAGATTAGACCAAAACCCTACTTCTATCTAAGCAACAACCCTGCCTCCTGAAGAGTATTACAATTTCAACATAAGATGTTTCTTTTCTATGTTATTCATTGGTTCTGTTTTAGTATAATGTATACTTTGAACTATTTGAACTACTTCAATGTTAATTTGCTGACATTCTTATTTTGTCAGGTGAGAAGTCTTCAGACAAGAATCCTAAGGTGCAGCTAGTGATATCATATGAGGATGCGAAGCTGACTATACTGGTGAAACACATGAAAAACATTGTAAGTTTATTATTTATAATAAGAACCATGTAATCTTATGTTTAGACATCGCTTGACTCCTTTGGGCAATTAGTGTCAACATTAGTAAGAGGAATGGGTCTATCAACCAAGCTTAAGTGAGGAACAATGAGCCAATTACAATGTTTTTGTCTCAGTATGATGGTGATCCTTAGGGTAAAGACTGGGGAATATTTCACAGTGAGAGTCCTAGAATTAAAATTGGACTTTATTCAAAATGCAGAAAAAGCAAGTGAATAGTCTCTGAGAAAGCTGGAATTAAGGAACAAAACCTGGATCCATCTTATCCTGTTGAGATTGGTAGAAGACCGCCTCTCTCTTGGACAGCAGTTTCTATGTGAAGGTCTTAGCACTGTCCCCCAAATTGTACCTCAAGTTTATACCATCATCTTAGGCACCATATTTTGATGTAATTGCTTACATGTATTTCTTTCTCCCCACAAAGTATTACATTTTTTGAGAATCGGAGTGCCCTCATTGCATTCCCAGGACCTAGAACCAAAGCTGTAGTTAGTGTGTAAGGGTGTGTAAAAGCCCCGTTCTATTATACCCCACTTGACCCTGGTTCAAGTCACAGCAAGAATAGCAGCTGAAAATCATCATTACGAAGAAGAGGGAGCCTTCTGTATCATGGGGTAAATGCCTGACAATCTGAGTCTGGAGACAGTGAAGGATAATTCTAAAACTTACCAGCTCTTCCTGTCTTCCTGGCCTCCAATCAAAACCTGGCTTGCACACAGCAGGAGGCTGCCCTGCAAGTGGAGAAACTTATTTGTCTGTCGTGTTTATGTGTATAAATCTCTCAGGATGTGTTTGGAAGGAACTAAAGGAGCAAACTCTTCTCCACATGACATGCATCTGGTATACACTAAAACTTAATCAACATTTGTTCAGTAAACAAGTAATTGGCATAGTTTTCAGGGCCTACCTCCATTATCAACTGAGAATTAGCCAGACATCCAAAGATGTTTGTTGGTAGATCTGTGGGGTTCACAGTCAGCAACTTTTGCAATATCTGCACAAATATTTTTAAAATGTTGATAAATATTTATTCATTAAAATAATCATTTTCCATTGTTTTTGATAAGACAGTCGTAAATGAAAATGACAGTTGTTTAAGAAACCTTTAAATTGGGAAATGAAGGCTCGATTAGTTATTATTTATGGCTAGATGTGTGCTCATGGACTTGAAGCATCTATATCAGGGATGATGAACCTTTTAGAGCTTTCAGTGATACAAAGAACCTGCTGCAGCAGGCATGCCATAGATTCACCACCACTGATCTATACCAACACAGGATTAAATGATAAAATATGAAGAAGTAGGGTTATATGATTTATATATGATATGTGACAGTCTTGAAAATGGTCCTCTTAGAAATTAAATATTTTTTGGTAATGTTGTCATTATCCAGAACATTTTAGAGGATACTTATTGAAATTGCATACGAACAACACAGTAAACCTGGTGCCCTTATATGATAGTCATGCTGAAGTTTTGATCAAAACCAATACTAACCAGTTTGGTCACCCATTACGTTCACCAAAGGTAATCCTAAATTACTTTTGACAGTTTTCAAAAAAGCATTATAAACTTCGATGGAGTTGTACTGCCAATAACTATATTCAAAGTGAATGTAATATAGGCTTGACGAGTAGAAGTGAGTGAGAAAGAAGAGAAAGAGCTAGAATTTAAAGTTGATGTAAAGTTGTTATGGGTAAATGGTAAATACTCAGATGAATCCTAGAAAACAATCTAAAACTTTAAAACACTAAAAAGCATGACCATTAGAGCCCATATATCGCCAATGCCCTCTGAAAAAAGTTATTATTAATTTTCTAATGCTTCTTGCAGTCTGACTTCTCAGTCTACTTTCTGCTTCCTCTCTTTCCCCAATCATTTGAACGGAGAGTTCAGAGTACTTGAAATACAGTTATAGACTTTTCTTTTAAACTCTAAATTCATGGCTTTAAAGCACTAAATGCATGGTTTTAAATATCACTTATGTGTCACTTTATTCCCTATCTATGATTCCAGGTCCAAACTGTCCCCTAAAATCCAGGATTGTGTACACAACTGATTATAACTCCAGCAGAAATTCACTTTGTATCTCAAAGTTAATAATGCACCAAATCGAGCTTGTGATGCCTGCTCCCTTAGATTTGTGTCTTTTTCCATCTTTCTCATCTCAGTAAATAGCACTTCTAGCCTTCTAATTACTTATGCTAAAATCTTTAGAGTCATTTTGACTCCCCTCCTTCTCCTAGAAGGTACATCCATTCTATCCACAAATTCCATTAATTTGCTTTCAAACTAAACCCAGAATCCTACCATTTTCTACCATCACCACAACCAATGTTGGTTCAACCCCTTTTATTGTCCCTTCAAATTTTTCTATTTTCTCCCTTTTCCTGTATTACTACTAAAATCCAAATGCCTAGAATAAGTCCAAGTACATAGTAGGTACTCAAGGATTATTTTGTTAAATAAAAGAAGAGCAGGTTACTTCTTATGTGAGCAAGTAAGTATTAGGATTTTTCTCATCTTCTAAAAATCATCGCAACAAAGTTCAATTTTTCACTGCTTCTTTTAAATAACTATTTTATTTCTTCTGCTCATCTGAAAACAGCAACAGCATTTTAATATAAATGGCATAAGATCCGTCTACAAATTCTCAACATATTTTCTTTGCTCATTTCAAGTTTTAGCTAATTGTTATTTATTTTTTGAGACTTTAATAGGCTCACATGCCAAAGTAATCAGACTAAAGAAGTTGTGCTTGATTTCATATTAATATTAAAATAAATTATGCCTGCAGTTCTGTTATATTTAATATTAAGTTTGATGAAAAGAATTATCTTATATTAAATCTTTGAAACTGTCTTTGCTCTAAGAATTGCTTCCCTCCTATGAGATCACAAGCTAAACCAAAACTGCTAAAATTCTTTCTCTTTCAAAGTAGCACAATATGATTTACTCTAATGAACAGCGACTGACAAAGTACTGCAATTATTTAGAAAGTTGGCCAATATTTTTTAAATAATAGTTCAGTGTATTTCAAATATTAGATTTGAAATATTTTGTCAAAGCTCTCTGGCCCTTTTCTCTGTATCCAACTTTAAGATACTCTCTCCTGTGGACTTCTATAGTGTTTCTCTATGCATTTACTCCAGACTTGAGAGTCAGTTTCCAAGGCTATGCCATTTCTAAGTGATTTCCTCCTCCCTGCATAAGAATATGAACATTCCAGAGATTCTAAAGGCAATCAATAGGGTGAAACTCTCTTCTCGTGTGTATTATGATAGTCATTTATGCTGTAACAGAATGATTATTTAAAATGAGCAAGTAATATCAATAAAAAAGGGAACACCTCAAATATAGTATTATTCATTTCATAAGACTCAATATAGAAGAAAATAGTTGCTATATGAAAATTAACAGGAAACAGAATAAAGTACAAGAACCACAAGCTAAACATGCATGCACACACACACACACACATTTTATGACAGTTCATTTTTTATTTTAAGAATTTCTTAGGGGCTGGGAGCTCAGTGGTAGAGCACTTGCCTAGCATGCATGAGGCCCTGAGTGTCAACCCCAACCCTGAAAAAAAAAACCCTTAGATTTTAATGTGTGTTAGTATAGACAGGGGGTATTTTTAAAAAACAAGTTCCTGGAGACAACTGAAAGCAATTTTGATTCTGTAATAGTAGGTTGGAATATCTGCATCTGTGTTGTACAGGCATTGCACTCCTCCCTTCCATTTCTGGACTTGTTTTCCTCCCTATTGCTATAAAACATGAACATTCATGGCTCCTGTGTGTACCAAGGGGGCCACAGACCACACCTTGAAAAACATTTCTTCAGTTGCTTGCACCCCATAAATGGTGCTTTACAGACAATGTGTGCTCTGGACTTGGCACCAAGGGAACTGCAACGCTCAGAACAAAGACAGCAAAAGAGGATTGTGAAAAGAAAGCTCAGAGAGGCAGTGTTTGCCACATATAAGGAACAGTGTTCTGGGTATAAATCCTCAGATTATACCAGTGCTTTTCAATTTTTTAATATCTAGGTTCTTAAAGGAAACTTGTTACTGTTCCATCCTGGATGTGTTTCAATCTAAATAAAAGCCAACTTCTTAATGAAGGGCAGTGTTCTAATAACAATCATCTAATCCATTATATTTGACATGTAGTCCATGGATTAAAAGATTGCTCTTCCAGAGTTGGCCCTTGATGACATTGATCTCCAATTTCAAGGACTAAGACACAAAGCCATGGACAGTGAAGAGTACCCAGCCCTGGTGCAGATATTCTATGGTCTTATGATGTCCTTAGCCAAGGAAACAGGTGATTACCAATTCTTTTGTAATGAAATCAAACCTAAGTTTTTTCTATAAACCAGTTGTCACTGATCTCTTTTTACTAGCCAACACCTTTAATGTCTCCTTTACTCAACTTTTCTGTTCCCAAGATCTCAGTGAAACTTCACTGTCTATATGTTCTTTCAATTTCACTGACAATATGCTTTCTGAGGCTTCCTTAGCTCTTATACATTTAAAATAGAAAATGTGGGTAGTGACTTAATAAAGGAAAACTTCCCCCCTAGCCTGTCGTGTGAATATTTCCCAATATTCAGGACTTCAGATCTTGAAACTAATTTCCTAAAAATTTCAACCAGTCCTGAGACTTCGAAGATAATATGAATTACTGCTAAATTTATAGCTCTATTTTTAATCTTTCTCTGAATTCCATTTACATATTTCCAACTGTCAGATGGGCATTTACACTCTGGTATCTTGCCATCTCTTTAAACTTGAAATTTCCAAAATTCGGTATTCTACTTTCCAGTAAAATCAGCTCTTATTTGGAATTACTTATTTTTATGAAACACTGTACCATCCTCATATAACCCCCATCAAAAGTTCTCTGCAATTTAATTTATATGTTTTGACCCATTTTAACTCACAATCATCAGC